TGAGATGCCCACGTCCCTGAATTGCTTAAGAATTAATGAGTTCACGTGAAGCACTCCATTCATTGCAAAACACTCTGCAAACATTAGGTTTTAATATCTTTTCCATTTTTAAAGTTTATTTATTTATTTTGAGAGACAGCATAAGCAGGGGAGGGGCAGAGAGAGGTGGGAGAGAGAGAATCCCAAGCAGGCTCCGCACTGTCAGCGCAGAGACCGATGTGGGACTCAAATGCATGACCTGTGACATCATGACCTGAGCCGAAATCAAGAGTTGGACACTTAACCCACTGAACCTATTACCTCTTAAAAATAACATAGACGGGGCGCCTGGGTGGCTTGGTCTGTTAAGCGTCCGACTTCAGCCAGGTCACGATCTCGCGGTCCGTGAGTTCTAGCCCCGCATCAGGCTCTGGGCTGACGGCTCAGAGCCTGGAGCCTGTTTCCGATTCTGTGTCTCCCTCTCTCTCTGCTCCTCCCCCGTTCATGCTCTGTCTCTCTCTGTCCCAAAAATAAATAAACGTTGAAAAAAAAAATTAAAAATAAATAAATAAATAAATAAATAAACGTTAAAAAAAATTAAAAATAAAATTAAAAATAAAATAAAATAAAATAGAAGTGGAGAGCAACTGCTACTGAGAGCAGGGCTCCTTCTGGGGTGATGAAAGTTGTTCTAAAAATGATCGTGGTGCTGGTTATGTGCCTCTGTGGGCAGACTGCAACTGTGGCATTGAATTGTATGGTAAGTGAATTCTACCTCAATTAAGCTGGTATTAAAAAAAATAATTCTAGAAAAAATCAAGGGCTTTCCTACCATGACCACTGTGTTGTTCTCCCCTAAATGGTTCTACCATTCATTCATCCTGCGGATGTTTCTGGATAGTCCGTGATGCGCCTGGCCCTATGCCAGGCTAAGCATAGCAGGGTATGCTAAGCACTTGGAATACAGAGTAAAGAAGATAGACGTGGTCACTATCCTCAAGGGATTGGGATCATAGACTCCAGATACGAAATCACACAAAAGTGTGGTGAGTGCTATATTCTGGAAAGTAAAAGGGAGTCAGGAAAACAGACCCAGAGGCTCATCACAGTCTTTGTCAGAGAAACCCTAGCTTCTATCTACAGTTTGAGATGGACATTTCAGTGGCCTCAGCAAGCAGATGTCCCTGAAGCCGGCCTCAGCAAGCCGGGATGGAGGTCCCGGGAGAGAGCCTTGTGGTGCTCCAACATCAAAAGGACGGGTGGAGACCCCCAAATCATGGAAAAGACACAGGAGTTATGAGACAGCAATTCATAGACACCAGGTCTCAGGGAACATTCATCTAACATGTTCCGGCCCCTGTATGTCCCCCCATTTTCCTCATGCAGTCAGGATTGTCCCAGCTGGTGTGTTTCCAGGGGGTGTCAGTGAATTTCCTAGATCAAGGTTTGTTTTTAAACATTTTTTCATGTTTATTTATTTTTGAGAGAGGGAGACAGAATGTGGGCAGGGGAGGGGCAGAGAGAGGGAGACACAGAATTTGAAGCAGGTCCAGGCTCCGAGCTGTCAGCACAGCATCAGGCTCGAACCCATGAATTGTGAGATCATGACCTGAGCTGAAGTCAGATGCTCAACCGACTGCACCACCCAGGTGCCCGCCCCTACTAGATCAAGTTTTGAACATCTACGCCAAGAAACGTGTTTTCAGAGTATATTAGAGTCCACTATTTTTCCAAAGCCTGAAATACATTTTTTTCTAAAAACAAGGATCCTCGTCAATTTCATTAAGTTTGGGATACTCGATGTTTGCACATCGAGTGTGTCCTTTCTTCCATCCAGGCTAGCCCACCTGGTGCACAAATTGTCTTCTACTTTTTTGTGTCTATTTTAGCTTCCCACTTAGATGATCAGCTCCTAAGGAAGTGAAAAATTGGGGGTCATGTGATTTATTTATTTGTCCAGTTCCTTTTTATGAGAACCTGCTGCTAAATGATACTTGAGGCAGGTTTGGAAACAAAAAACAAAAAACACTACCCGTGTTAATGGATAATGGCCACTCCCTTCGAGTGATGGCAACATAGTCCTGCTGATTCTAGTTCACTCGACTACTAGTCAATGAGAAATAACTCCTTAGAACATAATCAATTGTATTAACCAGCCAATAATAACTCTTCACATTTTCTATAGCATCTTACAGTTTATAGAATATTTTCATATAACATCATTGGACAACTCCTGTTGAGGTAGTCATTATTATTTCCATTTTAGAGATGAAAAAAGGCTGGACATTAGTTAACTTGGTAAGGGTTGTACACAATCAGCGAACAGCTGGGTTACGCTGTCAGCTCAGTGGTAACCCAAGGGGGTGATGCAGGTGACAGTGGGAGCTGTCCATCTGGGAGGCAGGTGTTAAAGGGGTGTGTTGTCTATAGAGGATTTTATTTTTTTAATTTTTTAAAGTTTATTTATTTTTGAGAGAAAGACAGAAAGAGATTGAGAGCACAAGCAGGGAAAGGGCAGAGAGAGAATCTCAAGCAGGCTCTACACTGTCAGTGCAAAGACCTATGCGGGGCTTGAACTCATGAACTGTGAGATCATGACCTGAGCCAAAACCAAGAGTCAGATGCTTAACCGACTGAGCCACCCAGGTGCCCTGCAGGGGATTTTAAAACAATGAAACTAAAAGCAGTCTGCTTTTATTATCACCCTGAGCCAATAATTCTAAATAATGTCAGTGATAAAATACTCCTCCCTGCTGGGCACTGAGAAGCTGGTTTTTTCTTTCCTGTAATAGAAATATTAAGAGAGCAAGTAAACCTCTTTTCCAGTCACACAGAGAGATTTCTCTTAGGACTTTGCAAAGTATTTCATGTTCCAGATCCCTGTCCTTGTTAAAACAGATACATTTTCTTTGAGGGTTTTCAGGGCCTTGCAGAATTGTACTTTTCCAGGGGAAATAACAATGGCCACAACGTCTAGAAGCTCCTCCAAAGAATCTTCCAGAAGAACAGCATCAATTCACTCATTCAGCAAAATGCACTGAGCAGCTCCTCAGAGACTGATGCAGGAGCCATGGGTGCGGGTGGGTAACAGAGAGAGGAAGACAGCTACCCCCGCCAGGCTGGTGATCTGTGGACAATTTCTGAGGATGAGCTGGAGGAATTTATCCTAGAGCCCAAGACCTGGGCACATAGCTCACTTGATCTCCAGACCTTAGCTGGAGATGTCCAGAATTCTGCCATCTGAAGTGGGAAGGGAAGCTTGCTCCAAAGTCACAAACGTTGATTTAGTATTGGAGTCCTAGCTGTTAGCTCAGACCCAAGGGGTTTCCTGGGACCCGGAATTCTCGATGCTAAAACCAGTACCATCCCCAGCCAATCAGGATGGTTGGTCATCCTCCCTTCTAGTTGCTAAGATTTCTTAATCACTATTAAGTGTTCGTTTTACTGTTGTTAGAATCACCACGGGTCCCAAGGTTGGGGCAGAGAGAGCTGGGCAATATCTGTATTTTAGCCTGGGAGCCAGCACCAAGGCAGACTCACACACGAGCTCTAGGAAGACCCCAGGGCAGCCATCCTCAAGAGCAGCGTTACTGACATTTTTTGTGCAGGCTAATTCTAGCTTCCAGAGGGCGATACAATGCATGGTAGGATATTTAGCAGCATCCCTGGCCTCTACCCAGCGTGTCCCAGTAGTGCACACACACACACACACACACACACACACACACACACCATCTCACTGTGATAATCAAAAATGTCACCTGATATCTTCAAATGTCCCCTGGAAGGAGTATGAAATTTCTCCCAGCTGACACCTGCTGCTCTACAGACATGTCTCTTGTTGCCTCATTAAGAATTGGAAGCCCTCGTGCAGAAATCAAGGCTGGTAGAGGGGGCGTCTTGGCTTCGAGCTGGGCACAGTCACCCCACTTGCCCCCATGAAAGTCTAACGGCTACTCTGCACTCTCCCTGGGCAGAAGCAGAGCTAGCCTGGTCCCCGGGGACTTTCTGTGACAGTGTGACACCTAGGCAGTTGCCCCCTTATTCCAGCTCTTCCCATAAGGTGTTACAAGAAATAATTCCTGCCCTATGGGATGCTCCTTGGGGCTATGAAGAGTTTAAAGGATACTGCACAGCTATTCACCAAGCACATTACATATTGGAGGCTCCGAGAAGTCTTGCCATAAAGAGACCTGTTTAAATTTTACATCTCAGATTTATGTGGAGGTCAGTCTATCCATTAAGATTTAAATACCATTGGCTCACTATTCTAGCTGTTGGAAACTCTGGGGCCCTCCCTGAGATTTCCGAGAATTTCCAGAGGGTTTGTGTTCCTGTACTCACTTCCAGCTGAATTCAGCCCCTCCCCGAATTGTCCAACTCATTCATATAGCACCTTTGACCACTTCCCTCTTATTCGTGCTCTATGCTGACCAAGATGTGGATTTCAGTCCCCTTTCTCCTTCCCCAAAATACCCACATTGGGCATTGCTGTGTTAAGCAGGCTTTACTGAGGTTTGCGCTGGTAAAAATCTTTTATGTGATTTTAGCCCCTCTTCCCCTCAAAATTTTCCTTGTTATCCCCCAACACAGCCTCCTCCACCCCCACCCAACTCCTTCTCATTTTATTGTATAAGGCATCCTCACTTTCCCCTCCTTACTTGGCCTTAGACCTACCTTTGCACCTTCAAAGTCTTGTTAATGGATGACCACACAGTTTACCATCCAAATTATGACACTTTTATTTATTTATTTTTTCAACGTTTTTTATTTATTTTTGGGACAGAGAGAGACAGAGCATGAACGGGGGAGGGGCAGAGAGAGAGGGAGACACAGAATCGGAAACAGGCTCCAGGCTCCGAGCCATCAGCCCAGAGCCTGACGCGGGGCTCGAACTCACGGACCGCGAGATCGTGACCTGGCTGAAGTCGGACGCTTAACCGATTGCGCCACCCAGGCGCCCCCACTTTTATTTTTTATTGTCAAACGATCCTTCATTGAAATAGTTTCCTTTGTGATTCTTAACCAGCTGGACATTCCGCTGAACCACTATTGAGGTCATCTATGATGTCATGAGGGTGGCAGCCATCAACACTGCAGCCCACAGATTGGGCAGTCCCCAGGATCTCTTTAATGGTTCCAGAGAGTTCTCTGGCTAACGATCGGTGCTGCCTCTATCAGGCAATGTTGACAATCTCATCAAAGGTGATATCTCCACTGTGTTCAATGTTTTTCTGCTTCTTTCTGTCTCTCAGGGGTTCCTTGAGGGCTTTGATAACCAGGGCAGAGGCAGAAGGTGCCACTTTAACCTGGTCCTGTCGGTTCTGAACGGTCAGTTTCAATGTAATCCTCAGACCCTTCCGATCATCAGTTGCCTTGGCAACCTTTTTTGGAGACAGACCCCGTGGGTCGAACTTCGGGGCCAGGGCAGATGTGGCACCAACTTTGCCACCGGTGCACCTCAGGTATAGGACTTTGATTTCCTTGGGGTCAAACTTAGACGGCCTGGTAGAGGGGGCTGGTGTCAGATAGACCCGGATTCGGGGTGACCGAAGACAGTTGAACTTTTGCCTCCTCCGAGCCAAGAGTCAAAAGCCAAACTATGACACTTCCGAGTGAAAGGCAGTCTCATAATAACGTCGCTGGGACAACAGGTGTGCAGTGGGAAGCTCCCTGGCAAACAAGGGCACGGGAAAACCATACATCTCTGCTAACACAAAGGGCTGTCTACTCCTGGACTTGCCCTCGATTGACACAGAAAAGGTGGCAGAGGGTTGGAAATGTTAGTGCTTCCTTCTCTTCCTCTCCTCAGTCCCTATGAATGCAATGGAGCCATAGAGTATGGTGTTACTGACATGTACCCAGCCAGCCTCCTTAGAAGACGAGCAGTGGCTCCCATCAGCTTTGGTTTTAAGGGAAAATTTCTTTTTCTCCACTGTTCTTTGCTTATTCATCATTAGCCAAACTCATCTGGTCACAGATCCATTTAATCTCTCCATCCCTACATCCATTAATGCCTCCCATAACTAGGACACGCTGGGGAACTGGCTACCTGGCCACTGACATTGTCTTGGGTGATGACAAGGTTAGGGTGGAGTGAAGACAAGGCCTGAGGTTCTGGGGCCCCCTCCCTGTAAGTGAGGAGAACGCTGGAGATTAATAGAGAAGAGCAGAGTGGTGCAGCCAGAGGCACAATCCCCCCGCCCCAAACCAGGCTGCTGTTATGAACATAACACTCCATGGAACTGTGGAGTGTTACCACAGTGGCAAGTGCTACCTTGGATACCTGATTCCCAAACCCAGGTGCTGATTTGTTACACACCCCTCATCTCCTCACGTCGCTTCCCTTCCCCTCCAGACACACGCACCGCCTTGCTCCTCTTTGACCATGCAAGGCATACTTCCACCTCAGAGCCTTTGCATTTGCTCTTCCTTCTGCCCAGAATGCTCTTCCCTATTTACCCCCTCTGCATTTAGGACGAGTGACTGGGAGGCCTTCCCTGACCGTCCGATGCAAAACAGCACCCCACCCCCACTTGCTCTTCCCTACATTCCCTGATTTGCTTTATTTTGCTCCGTAGCACATGCCATCACCTGCCTGTCTGTGTATTTGCCTGTCTGTCCCTTGACTGTTTCCCCCTTGGAGAAGGTAAGCTCTATGGGGGGTGAGGTTTTGTCCCTTGGGTTCACGGCTGTATTCCCAGAGTCTAGAACATGGTGATGTTTAACACACGTTTTTAAATAAAGAAAAGAAGGGGTGACTCCGTTGTGATTCCAGACATCTTCCAAAGTTCCCACAAGAGCGGTCCCTGGTTAGTGGTGACAGGTAGCCCACTTTGGCCAGGCGCTCCTTCCCCGGGTGGCCCTCCGTGCCTGCGGGCGCTCACCAGGTCTTGCTCCCTCAGTCAGAAGCACCTCACGTGTCCCTGCTGCCCCTCCCACCACCGCCCCCCAGTTGCTATATTGCCCAGCAGTTCTGTCAGGCAGACCTACAAGGTCGGCAGCTCTTCACGCGTCAAGGGCAGGGTTTTAATTCTGGATAAGGCAGAATAGGAGAGACACAACCGAGAAGCAGAGCCCTGAAGAGCATGAACCCTCCTCCTCAACCCTAGCCTCGGGAAGGGTGAGAACTAGAAAAGACTTCTTTGTGGGCCGGTCTGTCTCAGGAACCAGCTTCTGGGGCTGGGGTGGCTCAGACCGACATGTCCTGTCTCTCATGTGCCACTCCTTTCCATTAGAACTGCACTGTATTTCCAATCAATTAGAAGAATACCCAGCCATTTACCGTCATTAGAATGTTTTAATGCATTTTTCTAACTAGACACACACACACACACACACACACACACACCAGCTGGGGCATAGGTTTGACTCTCAGCCTGAAGCATCGCATTGGCTTCCAATCAGTGGAATACAATGGAGGCATATTCCACTTGGTCTGGTGACGTCTTCCTGGGCCGATCGAAAGGGGGCACGTTGGCATAGACAGCGAAGTCATCCTCTTTCCAGGGAGTCAGGTTGATCACATTGGAATATATGGCATCAGTGTGGCAGGAAAACTCCTTCAGAGACAGGACCCCAGTTACAGACAGATAACTAAGCACTAGAGACGTCCATAGATAGCACCAGCTACTGGGCCCCCTGTAGGACAGCAATGAAATATTGGGTTCTTGTGCAAGACTTGGATTTCCCTCGATCTTAAAAAAACATTTCTTTTAGGGCTGTTCCCTGCCTCATCCCCATCACCTCTGACATGGGGTCTACTTCGGAAACAGCATCAAATTGTGGCAGAAGGGACTGGAAGTTCCTTTAGGTATAATGACTATTTCCTTACCGCAGTTTTATGGAGAAAGTTGGTCTGGTGCCTCAGTTGTTTCTTAAATAGCCCTAGAAAAATTAATAGAGTCAGAGTCAGCTTGAGTGGGCATAGTAACCATCTTCACTTGGTTGATTACTAGCCTTAGGCTTAAACTTTTGAAATGCAAAATTCACTGTATTGAACCCATTGAGCCCCTTAGAGGAAGCTAGATGCCCAGGATGAGATGGGAGAGTGAGCCCCACTGGTGCACTTTATAACTTGAGTTATTATTTAGGTGAGATTGTGTAGCATTAATATTTCTTTTAATTGCTGCATATAAACCACACATATATATGGCTTTCGGCATAAATAATTTGTACCATAAATAAATCTGTCGCTCTATGCACAGCGTCTGGCGGCTCTGGAGAACAGACACCATAGCTCACCCATTCCTCCCGTCCCCGAGGCCGCCCCACAGGAAAGCCACCCCCCTCTCCACCCCCAGTTTTCCCCATCTCTCCATTCTCAGGTCCAGGGCCATCTTGCTCAACTCACTCTCATGTCTCCATTTCTTCAGGGTCATGGACAAGAGACCCACCAGGAGCAAGATGAGAGCCACCACACCAACAGAGCCAGAAATGACTGTGGCTGCTGTGCCCAAACTGAGGGAAGCAAACCAGAGAAATGAGGACGCTCCACCCGCCTCGGCCAGCTTTGGTGACCATCCACAGAATTGTCCTGGGGCCTCCCTACTCCTACAGGAGCTCTTCCACCTCTGGGCTCCCACTTCCCCAAAACCCACCTCCTGCCTCCATTTTGAACCTCTCTCCTCTGCCCCGACCTCCAGAGCCATGGTCCCAGTCACACCCATCCCCGTATCTGGGCCAAGCAGACCGCTTCCCACAGCCCCCGACACTTCTCATCCGTGGGTCCAGCTCTCCTCTCAACTACCTGCTGAGTTCATCAGGTTTGATCTCTGGCTTCAGCGTAGTGAGGTTCTCTACAGAAAGGGGCAGAAAGGAAGTAGAAAGGAAATTTGAGAGTAATTTTTACACACATGCTCTTGACTGAATATCTCCTGCTGAAATTCATATGTTAAATCCTAGCCCCCAATGTGATGGTATTAGGAAATGGGTCCTTTTGGAGGTCGTAGGTCATGAGGGTAGAGCCCTCATGAATAGGATTAGTGCCCTGATAAAAGAGACCCCGTAGAAGCCCCCTGACCCCCTCTACCATGTGAGGACACAGTGAGAAGACAGCTGTCTATGACCCAGGATGTGGGCTCTCACCAGACACTGAATGTGCCAGTGCTTTAATCTTGGATCTACCAGCATCTAGAACTATAAGAAATAAATCTCTGTTGCTTAGAAGCCAGTCAGTCAATGGGCATTTGTCATAGCAGTCCAAACAGGCTCAGCACACATGTGAATGAGCTAGCTCTACAGGATATACATGTAATATTAGTTACCATTTTGGGGAGACTTAACACACATCAGGCATATTCATTATCTCATTTAATTGTCATAAATAGACAATAAAATAGGCACAATTATTATTCCCATCTTGCAGTAAAGAAACAAACTCAGACGGAGATCAGACTTGCTCAAGGTCCTAGAGCTAGTAAGTGGCAGAGTTCAGACTTGAAGTCACATCTCTCTGACTTTAAATTGCATGTTTATGAATGCTCTGCTTTGCTGTCTTCGTGTGGTCATTTCACTCCCAAGTTCTCCCATTCTTACAAAGGGCTGAGCGATACCAGATATGGCAGGATGTCCAGGAAAAAAAAAAAAGTAACCGGAATGACACAGGTGAGTGGTACCCAGAGTGGGGCATGTGGTGGGGTTGGAAGCGGTCAGGACCCTGGAAAGTTGGGCTGATATTGGGCAGAGGTGGCAGGTGTAAGAGCTTGCCCAGACTGGTGGCGGATGGCTGTGCTATTCTCCACACTGTGAAAACATTTCTCCAGCACCAAAGGATGAAGACACCAGCCCATGCCCCACAGACTGTGCCTGTGTTCTCAGAGTTAGAAGGAATCTCAAAACATACCTAGTCAAACCCTCCCACTGTGCAGGTGAGAAGCTTCAGGACAAACCACTTGCCCCACAGAAGTGCTGGAGCCATGAGCCTATGTTTCCGACCCCAAACCCAAAGTTCTCTTTATCTGCACTCAGGCTCCTCCCTCTTCCTTTCCCCCATAAAGTGGGGCGACACAATTCAGCCCCCATGGCAGGTAGCACCTCTCCAGACACGTCTTGGGAGCTGGCTTATCAGACACCCAGAGGCAGAGATTGTTGCTCAGGTTGGGTGAAGGGAACATGGGGGGTCACTGGGGCAACCTAACATGCATGATGACAAATAGCATCTAGGAGTAGGCACACCAAGAATCACGACCACTCGGGACATTAAGGTCAGATAGAATTGTGTCAGGCACCTTAATGGTCCACTTGCCGTCTGCCGTTCTTTCTGTCTTCCTTCTAAATAAGATAGCTGACCTCACCAAGGTTTTCTTTGACAAACTCCTGCCCACCTTCTGAGTGAGGGGTAGAGAGGGGACTTGGAAACCAGATCTTCCCAGTGCCCGTGTCACCAACACCCACGATGAGGAACCAAGTCACAGGGCTTGATGTGTGGGAGACTGGGGTGGGGAGTGAGATGTCACACAGAAGCCCAGAACAATGAAAGGGGAGCCTGGGGCACCAGTGGGGGGTGGCTGGCTGGGATAGGACACACCTGTTCATAGCAAGGAGGACAAACAGCATGAGGGTGTCCCTCCAGGGT